TGCAACATTCTCAAATATCAGCTGAGTGGTGGGGACAGCCATCAGCAAGATCAGATGCCCTGGTTAACTAGCAGCCCTCCAGGTCCTGTTTGCCTCCCTCTCCCCTTGACCAGGAGAGCCAGTGAACCAGCATTTACAACCGGTACACAAGCTGGGAAGAGCCACGTTAAGGTGGAGGGTGTGGAAGAAAGAGGTAAAGGATGTAGAAGCTACACCATGCCTCACAGCCTCTCCTTTCTGGAGGCGATGCTCGGTTCAGACAACACAGTCCCAGAAAGAGATGCTCTTGTGGTTGATGTCATCAACACTGCTACAGAGGATACTGAAGTCAAGAGGAATTCTGTTGACCCCCTGCCTGGCAATCTCTCCTCTCCTGAATCAGTCTTGGAGGATACACCCACGGGATTTCTGAACCTGGGCTTCTGTGAAGAAGATTCATCCCAGGGGTCAGACATTCCCAGTGACCAGCCCCAGGTGGCACCCATGACATCTGGATCCAGGCCACTCAGGATCTGGAAACTGGTGAGGAAGCAAATTTCCCATGCACTGAGAGCACTCTGCAGCAGCTGCTGCTGCTGCTGCCTGCCCACCCCAAGGTGAGCCCTGAACCCTTGCATCAGGGGTTCAAGGAAAAGAGGGGACAGTGGAGACCTACATGGAGAACAGTTAGATGTGCCACATAGATGATCTCCTACATTGTATTTTCAATATACTATTTCAATATCCATTTTAAATGAAAAGTTGTACCCACTCAGAGGGCCCAGAATTTCAGATATGTGGTACATTAGATGTCAAATTCACAGCTTCCTGTTCATGTACAGCCCTAGAAGGCTGAGGCAAAAGCAGGTAGCATAGCATGGGGACCACAGCATGGGAAGGGAGGAGAGTTTGGCTAAATGGAACAAAGGTTCAGAATGGAGGAATCAGGGGAGGAATATGGCACAGAACTTTTATCTGCCAGTCACTAATAGAGGTGCTTTCATGTTTCTTTCTGCTTTGAAGTGTGGAAACTGAAATGGCCCAATAGAATTCCAGACCTGGTGAGGAGCCACGGAAGGGACCCAAGACAGATCACCAGAGTGCCAGCTCCCTCCAACACAGAGCAACAGGCTCCTGCCTGCATTCATCCTCCAGCTATTGGGTCTGAGCTGCCAATCTGCATCTCTTTCAGCTCAATTCAGCTTTGGAACTGTTGTGGGACAATTTGGGGTCATATAGCATATGTACCCCATGACCCTCTACCTTCCTAGCTTTGGTTGTGCTTGTAGGACCACTCACACTGCATGGAAAACAGCAGCCTCTACCACCAGGAATGACTTCATACCAATCACGGCTGCTCATCATCTTGGTCACTTTAACCCTCCAACTTACTCTGTGACTGCCTTTTGGACAAAACAGCAAGACCTGTGCAAATCCTCTGGAGAATGGAGGTGGGTGAAGGAGATAAAGGGGACTAATTGGCAAACAGTTTCGAGACAGGAATAGGGGA